ATTCTCTTATATATGTTCATTTTTTCCCCAAAATAGGAAAATTTAGTTAGTCCACCTGATAGCATCCCATAGGACACTAGAAATCTCTCTCTCTCTCTCTCTCTCTCTCTCTCTCTCTCTCTCTCTCTCTTCTCCTGTCAGATAATCCTAATGCCCCATTACATACAATTATCATATAATGTAGGCCCTTTACCCATAGAATCCATATGTAAAATCCTGAAACTCTATTTTGTAGTATTTGTGGGGTATGGCCTTTGGGATGCAATTAAGTTTAGATGATGTCATTGGAATGCCCATAGTGGCATTACTACTCCTATAAGGGGAGAAAAGACAAGAAATCTTTTCCTCTCACCATGTGAGTCTCTAGCAGAAAGATGGCAGAGGAAGAATGTCTTTACCACTGAATAAACTGGGACCTTGATTTTAGACTCCACAACAGTGACATACAAATGCTTAAGACACTCAGTTTACAGTATATGCTATCACAATTTAAAAGAATGACTGACAGAAGTTGGTGTCATGAAATAGAGAGTGGAACTGGTTGACAGCTCCATAGGTAAAAGTGCCACCAAGCCTGATGACTGTAAGTTTGTTCTCTAGAACTTAAATGGTGGAGGGAGAGAAGGGAATTCTACTGGTCTCGACTGTGCTAGTGGCCATAAAAGCATATTGGGCCTCTCCAAACACTTCGAATGGAGAGGTATCACCAACAGTTATTGGGGTGTGCATTTCCTCTGGTCCTGGGTATACACCTAGGGGACTCCAACACGTGGCATGGTGACTGCGTTGAGTGACAGCTAGTAGACTTCTTAAATGAGTGATTGGGTAGATAGACTGGGGGGACCAGTGCGTAGTGTAAGGTGTGCTAGTATGTGCATACTGTGGTTGTTTGAAAACAAAATGGCCATAAACGGGACTGGCACTATTAGGAACTGTGACTTTGTTGAAGTAGGTGTGGTCTTGTTAGAGGAAGAGTGTTACTGTGGAGGCCAGCTTTGAGATCTCACATATGCTCAAACCATGTTAGTGTCTCAGACATCTTCCTGTTTCTGCAAGATATAGGACTTCAGCTACTTCTCTAGCATCATGTCTTCATACATGCTGCCATGTCCCACTATGATGATAATGGACTGAACCCCTGAACTGTGAGCAAGTCACCTCATTAAATGTTTTCCTTTGTAAGAGTTGCCCTATTCACAGTGTCTCTTTACATCAACAGAAACCCTACTCCTACACTCATATCCAGACATAAAATAAATAAATGGAAATTTTAAAATGCTTTTGATTTATTTATTTTTGCTTTATATATATGGGAGTTTTGCCTTTATCTATATTTGTGCACTGCATGGATGTAGTGCCCATAGAGTGCAAAAGAATGTGTGAGGTCCCCTGGAGTTATGGAGAGTTGTGAGCTGCCATTGGAGTGCCTAAAATTGAACTCGAGTCATCTGGAAGTGCAGCCAGTGCTTTTAATTGCTGAGCCATGGATCTTGCTCTTAAAAATGTTTAAAGAAAAACAATGGGATGCTGTTATAGTAGGTACCTAAAACATAGAAAAGATTTGGAGCTCAGTAGTAGGTAGAGGCTTGGAAATCTGTAGGGAAATGCTTATTGAGTGGACATTACATTTGGAAGGGCATAGATCAGGGACCAAGCACTTACCTGGTGTACACAAGGTTCAGTTAGATCCTGTACTGGAGAGGGTGTGGTCATTACTGTGAAATGACTACCAGCAGTAATCTGATGAGAACTGAGAAAGAAAGGCAGGGAGCCAAAGAGAAAGCCTCCATCTTCTCAGAGAAGACACAGCCTATGAATATCAACAAGGAGTCTTACAAGGTCACAGGAAAAAAAGACGGACACGGTATTTACACTGAAGGAAAGATGATCCTGGCTGAATGTGTTCACAGCCTGATGTGAGAAACAAGACATGTCAGTGATGAAGCTGGACATTTGGCTGAAAAGAGTTCCAAATATTTAAGGAGCAGATAAGAAGATAAGCAAGTTGAAAAATATAATTGCTAAGCAAATAACAGAAAGTTCTCAGCTTATTTACATTGAAGAGAATGCCAAGGGTATTATCACAAAACTGTCTTTTAAGGAGATAGTTCTGAGTGTGAGCCACAGACCTACTCAGCACCCTTAAGAGGAGCACCAAGAGTTTCCACTACAAGAGTTGGAGATGGGATGAGATGAAGGGAGGGGCTCTGGTTTCTTAGGTTCCAGAAGACGATCAGTTCTGCACATGCAAATGGTTGTCCTTAGTCTCAATGAGCCAAACAAGCTATGGTGGTGGGGTCATCTGAAACCAGGGAGGTGCAAGCGAGGACAGCAGAATCCTAAGAGCAAGACTCATGTGGTAGAATTCTGAAAGTCTGGCACCTATGCAGCAGACCCTTGGAGATGAAACTTCTAGTCAGCAGAGTCCTGGGGGTATGACCCATACTGTACAGGGCTATAAAGGATCAAGCACTGGCTAACAAACAAAACCAAATCACATCAGAGAATACTTCTCAAGCCTTATAGGCGCATAGAATCATCTTTCTTTCCTCATGTCTCCTTTGTAGAATGGTGGGAATGCTCATCTTATGCCTCTTTGATCACTATAGTTTGGAAGCATATGAATTGTTTGGTTTCCCAGCTGGAAAATAACAATACCTCTAGGCGAACTGTCTTACTGATAAGTGATTTAGAGGATAGTTTGATGAAATTTGACTTTAGACTTTGAAGTTGGAGGTTGTGTAAGCTAAGACTTTGGGGGCTGTTGAGATTAGACGTATTTGTGGGTAAGCACAACATGAATTTGAGGACGACTCCATGCGGAATGCTAAAGACTGAATGTGTCCTGAGTATATATGTTCAGGTCCTAAACCCTGGGGGAACAATTAGTTCTAGAGATAATCATGAAGCTAAAGTATCTAAATAGAAAATAGGTTAACAAGAAAAGCAATCAAGCAGTAACAAGATATTTTACAGATCAGAAAGGATATGGAAATAAAATGCATCCAACTGAGAAAAATAGTTCCATAAATAAAGGTTTTCTCTGATAATGACGATAAATTAACAAGCCAAATGCAATTTAGAGAGAGAGAGAGAGAGCTAAAACTCACACCCTTCCTTCTAAAACTCAGATCATTATAGAAGAAGGGACAATAAGAATGTTAAGGGCCAGTGGCAAGTGAGCACCACAGGGAAGCAATGTTTTCTAGCTACAATAAGGCAGTTACACATATGAACTCCCAACAGCTAAGATTGCATGAACAAAATGTGTCCAAGCTCAAGCCAGATGAAATCTCAGAATGTTGGGGGTGGGACATGAAATCCCATCGCTACCTAAGGAGCTAGCTTCTGGGGAGGGAGAGCTAGTTGTCCTTAAGGGTGTGGCCCATTGTATGTCCAGCAAGCTCCCTTGGAAGGCCATATCCCCAAAAGTATATAAGCACACCAGTTGGATTTGATGGATATTTTAATAAATAATGAATGAGGACACAAAATTGCACAGGGCATAGAAATAGGTATGGATCTAGGAGGAGATGGGAAGGAAATAAATAGGATCAAAATCCAGGGTTAGAAATGCTCAAAGAATAATAAAAATGCTCTTAAAACTCAAATGAATGCTTACTGTGATTAGAAGCAAAAGAACAATGAGAACAAAAATACTCAGTCCTTAATAACTTGCAGATGTCCTTCTGGGTGTTGCTCTTTTATAAATGCACATAATTTTCAAACCCTGCATATTAAGTAATATTCCCCTACTGTTGGTGTAAAAGGAAATGAAGGCCAGAGAGGCAGAGTAAGTTGCCCAAATCACTTAGCAGAGCTGAGATTTTGCCCTAAAGGCTTTGCCTCGGAGTCCACATGATGACCTATTCTACTCTAGTAAGACTGAAGTGGGTCCAGAGAAGCCCGACAACATTCACAAGCCACCATGTGCCCAAGACTCGACTGTGCTAGTGGCCATAAAAATATAATGGGCCTCCCCAAACACTTCGAATGGAGAGGTATCACCAACAGTTATTGGGGTGTGCATTTCCTCTGGTCCTGGGTATACACCTAGGGGACTCCAACACGTGGCATGGTGACTGCGTTGAGTGACAGCTAGTAGACTTCTTAAATGAGTGATTGGGTAGATAGACTGGGGGGACCAGTGCGTGGTGTAAGGTGTGCTACTGTTTGCTTTCAGACGGCCCTCTTCATATCATGAACTATCCAAAAATACCGATTTTCAAGACAAAAATAAAAAGAGTAACTTTTGCAGAAACATCCAGGGTAATGTGAAAGAGATTCTCTGAGGTAATCTATGCTTTGAAGATCACCAGGGAGTGGCAGTGAACACAAAATTCTCCAAACCTTCCGGTGACCCTCAGGAGTGCTGCTGAGCTCAGAGACAGCACAACGAGCTCTGTGAGAGAAATGAAGAAGCAGTCATGGGACTGCCGAGGGACTAGGGTCATCACAGCCCCCTCCTTCAAGAGGGATCCGAATAGTTGAACCAACACAAAGGGATATTTTGGTTGTGCTTTTGCATAGATCTGGCTTTAATCAGAATTTCACTTGAAACACTTAACTTCCAACATTCCCTTCTGCCTCCAACACTGTTAGTCTTATGGTAAGTGTTAAAGTGAGTGAGAAACCGCACACTTTGTGACGTGCTGTAGACTCCGAAGAGTTAAGTTTCAAGAATTATACATGACTACATGTTGGGTTTCAGCAGCAGTTGTACCAGCCATGGGACCTCAGAACACAGCGGAGGTGAGCGCTGAGACCCCGACAGACAGAAATGTCTCCTTGCATTGTTCCTGTGCTCTCTTACCCATGTTAGACATGGTGAAGTCACCAATATTCCCTTCTTTCATTTGTCATGTGTAGAGAATGCCACAGAAGCTCTCGACAGGAAAGTGTAGCAGACAGTGGGAGACAATTCCTTCCTAAATCGACCTTTTAAAGGAAGCCTTTACAGTACCACCGAACTCGGCGTCCTTACAAAAACATGTCTTTAGCTTACAGCCTCCGAAGAAGCAAAACTGCAGCTGCTTGAGAAAGTTTCCTTGCTGGAGACAAGACTGCAGGCTGTGAGCCAGCGGAGTGCTGGAGGAGAGTCCTATGAAAACGTGGTGCTTGAGAAAGACAAGGTACGTGGAGGAAAGGTCGTGTTTGGGGAGTGACTTGACCGCATGTGACAAGTCTGGAAGCCATGGCTGGGTTGAAGGTCCCCAGGGCTGGGCCTGTCCCTCGGTGGTGATGAAACAGACACTTAGAAGCAGTTTTTACTAAAAGTGTTGACTAACTAAAAGCATAGGGGGAACCTGACACCTGCCTTCTTCATTCTCTGCCTGTTTCTTGGCTGGAGACACGGAGATAAGACATTGTCTAAACCTAGAGTCACCCAAGATTCCAGAAGACCAAACCCTGGGAGGAAAAGCAGCTCCACCCCAGATGAGGGCAATTGTCCGCAAGGGTGAGGCTGCATTCTAAAATGAACAAGTCAATGTAGTGGAGGACCACCATGCAGGACGGAGCCAGCTGAGAGCTGAGGAAATGATGGACCAGCACCGTTTGGGTCACATCTTGACCCATGGCTTAACTGTGCAGAGTTCTTCCCTTCTAGTTTCATGTTGGTGATCCAAAGATTGGACTTGGGGGCCACTGGGCCCCTATATTTGTTCCTCTTCCCAATAAGGTCATATTAAGTAAACATCTCCTTTCTCTTTTCTTTACCAATATTTCTCTAAATTGTTTTATTGGAATAGGGGCCTGGGCCTAGCTTATTGGGAGCTCCAGAGCTCAAGCCTTTAATCTAAAATCTCTGGTAACAGTAGAGATTTGCTTGGCATGTACACAGGTCTGAGTTCCATCCTTAACACTGCAAAAAAAAATTAAGCTCACATTTGAGTTTATGGGGGTGAATACAGCATTTACATTTGGTGAAGGTAACTTCTTTTCCTGATGAGCATTCACAGATTAAAATTTTTGTTACACTTGAAGATTTTCATAAAATTTTTAATAATGTATCTTTTGGGGAAATGTTAACTGCATGGTCTACTTATTTTGTACATGGTGTCAACTGTACACATATTTCTTGGTTTTCAGGGTTGGAATTGATGAAGGACTTATTTCTGTTTAGTTAACAATAGATTTTAAAATTTGACATATTGTCTTAGTTAGGGTTACTATTGCTGTGATAAACACCATGACCAAAAGCAAGTTGGGGAGCAAAGAGTTTATTTGGCTTACACTTCAGCATTGCTGTTCTTTATTGAAGGAAGTCAGGACAGGAACTCAAACAGGGCAAGGTTCTGGAGGCGGGAGTCAACACAGAGGCCATGGAGGAGTATTGGCTTACTGGCTTGCTCCCCAAGCCTTTCTCAACCTGCTTTTATAACCCATAGCTGCCAACTCAGGGATGACACTACCCAGAATGCAACTGGGCCTTCCTCCATCCATCATTAATTAAGAAAATGTTCGACAGTTAATTCTTAGGGAGACATTTTCTCGCAGAGGGTCCCTCCTTCCAAATAACTCCAGCTTGTGTCAAGTTGACAAAAAACTATCCAGCACACATATTTTTAATTTATAAAGTGTTGGACACACACACACACACACACACACACACACACACAAGCTCACTAACATTAACCTCATCACCTCAAGCTATCAGTTTTTCCTGACCATTTCCTGGCAGTTAACATATTTGTGCTTTGCCCTCAGGCTTTCTCATAGACAGAGAAATGACCTCTTTAGTACAGATGGTCTCAACACCCAGCTAAGACCTGGATGCTGTCAGTCAGTAGATTGAGAGCAGGCACACATTTGCCTCTGGGATACTTGGAAGAGTTAGACATTGCTCTCTAAATCCTTCTCTCTTTTTTAAAATTGTTTTTGTTGAGCTATATGTTTTTCTCTGCTCCCCTACTTTCCTCCCCTCCCCTTCTACCTTCTCCCATGATCCCCATGCTCCCAATTTACTTAGGAGATCTTGTCTTTTTCTACCTCTCAGGTAGATTGGATCCATGTATATCTCTCTTAGGGTCCTCTTTGTTTTCTAGGCTCTGGGGTTATGAATTCTAGGCAGGTTTTTCTTTGCTTTATGTCTAAAAGCCACTTATGAATGAGTACATATGATATTTGTCTTTCCGGATCTGGCTAAACCATTCTCTTTTCCAGTGCATTGAGAAGCTGCAGGCTGAAGTAAAAGCTTCCCAGGAGAAACTTACAGCCCATGTAAGTGTTCCCCCGTTTTTTTTTTTTTTGATCCCATGATTCATAGCACTGTAATCCTGAAGATGAACAGAAATTTATCAGAAGTCATAAATGAGGTTTATCCACTGTAAAGTTAAAATGCAATATTTTTAGAAATTCTCTGTAAGTAAAGTTCATATTCTTGCAGATGCTTAAAATGAAAAAAAAATGTGCTTTTCTATATGGTCAGATGGTTTAACCATCTGATGGCGCATTGAAAGAGCACTGAACATAGAAAAGGATGCCAGGAAAGCCAGAGAAGAGACTGGAGTGGCCGTCAGTGATGATACATGGAACTTGGATCTGAGACAAAGATCATGAAAAATTTAGTTCATGCCAGAGACCCCTGGAAAGTTTCAAAGGCAAGCCGCCCAGAGGTGCCCTTTGCTGGGTGCTTAGGCCTCAGGTGATACCAATGCTCCCAACCTCTGAGCCAGTCTAGAGCAGCATATGCTATGTATACTCATTTGCCTCAGTCTTGTGCAGTTTGGGAAAGCAGCCCTACATCAGAGTGCATGTGTGTCCAGTCGCTCCCTTAACGTCTTGATGAATATCTCATGAATTTCTGGAGCAAATTCATTTGCCCTTTAGCCCATGTCTGTGCCGAGAAGCAATGAGCACCAACAGACAGGATACCCTTGTGCTCCTGTGTCCATGAATCAGGCACCTAGCTGCTCCTGAGAATATTAACGCCCCTGACACCTTCAGCATGTCTCCAGAGCTCGTTGTGCTTCTAGCATCTCCACATCCATCTGGGCTGCACGGGCTAACCTTGATAAAGGATACTGGCCAGCCCTGCCAAATGGCCCTTCTCAACAGCACCAAGTTCCTCAGACCCAGCCCAGAATGCAAGCAGAAAAGACTGTAAGATAATGAATTCTCGTGACTACCCCACTGACTCTGTGAGGAGGAGCTGACTTTGGAAATTTTTTTTAATTGTCTCATCTTTCTGTGCTGAAGAAAAAAAAAAGTCGTATGTGTTAGGACAGACCTTTTAATCCTTAAACTCCGTCTTTTTCTGATCTTGGGTACTGATTTGTCCCACAATGGAAACGAATGTGCCGGCATTTGTGGCGTTGTGACCGTTCTAACAGAAACCTGGCAGACTAGCTCAACACTCTGTCGCAGATGTTATTCCGCCGGCTGCCCTGAGGGTGCCAGATAATGACTGCAGAGGGAGGAAGAAGGCTCCTATTAATCTGTCACCTACATCCCTGTGCAAGGAGGAAGACAGATGCACTCCCCAGATTCTGATACTATCTTCCAAGTCTCCCCACGATGGGCTGATTTTAAAGCTCCCTGCAGCTGGTGTCTTGGGGAAACCCCTGTGGTATCTACTTCTGTCTCCTAACTCCAGAGTGTCTGCCCCCGCCATGCTGCTATTGTCCTAGGCTCCTCTGAACTGGGGCTGGTCTTTTGTATAGGGTTTCTAGATTTTTCTAAAGTAAGTTGTCTGGTAGCTAGGATTCAACATCCCAGTTTGTATTCATCAAGGCTTTTCTTTAATTTTTCAAGAAAGTTTAAATGGAAACTATTAATAATAGTATTTATTGAGTTGGTTGTGTGTCTTCCTATCGTATCAGTTTCAAATTCTTATATAACCTAACAAGCCAGACATTATTTCTCAGGTTAAAAGACTGAATCTTTAAAAGGTTAGATTACTTTTTATACTTCATGATTTTGCCATCCCAACTGAGTGTCTTTCCAGATTCCTGTCTCTGTACTATCTCTGTCTCTGAGGTGTCACAGGTCCTGTAAAGTGTGACTTCCAATGTCCCTTCCTCTTTCCATGCCCTGGAAGCAAATGATCCCGGAACAGCGCTTCAGCTCACAGTCCTAGCATCTCCTATGCAGATGACAACCACCTCCATCTCCTTCAAGTTCCTTCTGTCTTAATCATCCTGTGATGATAACCCCTAAACAATTTTAATGTGCATTTCTTCAAACATTATCCCTGGAGAAAACCTTCGGCAGAGCTTTACCACCTCCTCAGAAAAGAAAGAAAAAAAGCGTGTGTTGGGGCAGAGGGTGCAATGGGGCTGGAAACAACACAAAGCGGGTTTGCTTGCTTTAGAAACAAGCCATGCACAGCTAGTCTCTCGATGTGTTCATCCATAAGGACCATTTTACAGCACATAGCTGTGGCGATACTTGCATCTAACATCAAATTAAAGCCGTGTTTCCTTGTGACCTAGCATCATGCTGCTCTCTCCAGATCAGCAAGCCAGATTTGTCATCTTCCTTGTCTGTATTTTGAATACATCCCTCTCTTTCATTCCTCAGCCGTGGTGGCTAATGGACACACTAGACTGTTCTAGAGATCAACTAAAAAGCAGTCTTAAAACCCTAACCGTCTCTACCTTCATCCCTATGTAGTCAACTGTGCTGCTCTGTCCCTAGATCTGTGTTTCCTGACTTCTGCACCTGCTACTTCACTATGATACCACCTCCCTATCCTTTTCTGACCATTATATAGTTTAGCTATTGTAAATGGTCCCAAATAATTAGCATGAAAATTTAGAGCATTCTACTGTCCCTCTCCTGGGACAAAGTAGCCCATTTGTTTTAGGTGCATAGGGTTTAGACGGCTGAGACGAGAAAGGATAAAATCTATGTATAAATACTTAAGTGAGGGCTACATGCATAGCTCAGAGTACTTGCTTGGTATGCTTGAAGCATGAGGTTTAAGCTCTAAGATAAGAGGGGATAGAGAGACAGAGGAAAGGAAAAGAAAGGAAAAAGGGAAGGGAAGGGTGACTGATTTAAATCGAGCATAGAAAAGAAAATTAAATGGAAGAGACTCTGGCGGTGAGAAAGGTCTATGAGCGAAGAGAAGGGCTTACGGAACTAAGATTGTGGTAACAGAACTTTGTAGATAGAGTGAAGGTTCTTCTGGGAGGAAAATGGAAAGATCTTGAGATTTCTGAGAACTCTGAAGATTAAGAAAAAATAATAGGGGAAAGGGATAAGAAGAGTTTCTCTGTGTTATCGACTTCAGCCTCTCTAGGCATTTGAGGGTCCCATTAAAGACTAGACTTCCTATTGTACTGTAACTTCCTTAAATGTACACTTGTACAAATTAGCCCCTGTGCTGGGCAATTTTATGTCAACTTGATACAAGCTAAAGTCATCCCAGAGGAGGAAACCTTAATTGAGAAATATCTCCATAAGACCTGGTTATCGGCAAGCCTGTAGGACATTTTCTTAATCAGTGATTGATGGGGAAGGGCCCAGTCCATTGTGGGTGATAACACCCCTGGGCTGCTGGTCCTGAGTCCTATGGGAAAACAGGTTGAGCAAGCTGTAAGGAGCAAGCCAGTAAGCAGCACTCCTCCATGGCCTCTGCATCAGCTCCTACCTCCAGGTCCCTGCCCTGTTTGAGTTCCTGTTCTGACTTCCTTGGATGATGAACAATAATGTGGAGCCAAATAACCCTTTCCTCTCTAAGTTTCTTTTGGTCATGGTGTTTCATGTTACAGCAATACTAACTCTAACAAAGTCAACTACCTAATGGTTTTCTGGTTTCCCAAAGACCATCCTGAATGGTGCTTGCAAACACAGCCCTTGTCCTATCTCATCTCTTCTTTACTCTTCTTAGTTTCTGACTGATTCTACTAACAAAATGAAACTTCATTTTTACTTGTATTTACAGTACCAAGTGGTTTTGCAGAGTGTCATCAATGGGGGCTTGGGCAACAAGTTGTCAGACATTGGCATATTAAAATCTATGGCACAGGAAAGGAACCGCTCAGACCCTGTGTAGCCGTGTGAACCCCTTTCCTACCTCACCTCCATTATGTACCTGTGACCCTCCCTGGAAGTGTGCCATACTGTTTTATCTCTAGTAACTTTGCTTATTATTCCTTTGCACATGGAACACCTGTCTGACTATCCAGTTGGCCATGTTTTTCTCATTCTTGATCAAGATAGCTAGTTGAAGGAAGTTTTCTCTCACTGAAAAGTCATCTGTCTTTTATTGGTATTTTCATATTTTTGTGTTCTTTTCACTCCATGGCACTGTGAACCCATGATGGAATAGCCTCATGTGGTGAGCATTTTCTCCAAACCTGGGTTCTCGGGGAGCAGAGCACAGGCTTGTTTTTTTCTCCCTCGAAAACTCTTTGCTGCCTTGTGCAGATTTGAATGAACTGGCTTAAGGCGGAGAGAGGGAAACAAGAGGAGCAGTGGTGGGAGGCAAGGGAACCCATTGCATGTATTCTTTCGTGCATACAGTGCAGCTTTAGCTGCGTGTGTTTCCCTGTGTGTGAAGTGAAAACAGAAGGAGTCTACTTCAAGGAAGAGGAACACCAGTGACAGAGATAAAGGGGAGAGCCGCAGGGGGAGGGAGCAGGCACCGTGACATGTGTGAAGATATCACTATACAAGCCGTTATTTTGTATTCTCATTTAAAAACCAATAGAGCAGGGAATGGCAGCAGTGGAACTAAAGTGAAGTTTACTTTGACGTTTACAGCTACAGACTTTGTGTTTCAAGATAAACAACTTGTGGAGACAGCTGTATTCCTTAAAGATGCCAGTCACATACCGTGTTAGTTCAGTCTGAGGCTAGTCCTGTCAGGTAAAAGGTATGCTGGTCACTTTTCTGTTGATGTGATGAAACACCACGAACAAGGAAACTTAGAGAGGTTTGTTTGAGCTCATGGTTCCAGAGGGATAAGAGTTCATGATGGCAGAAGGAGGCATGGCAGCTGGAACAGGCTGGGTGGCAGGATCAGAAACCGAGGGCTCACACCTTCACCTGCAAGCACCAAGCAGGGAAAGCAAACTGAAAACGCAGGATTTTTTAAACTCTCAGGATCTGCCCCCAGTGACGTATTTCCTCCAGCGAGGCCGCATCTCCTCAATCTACCCACAGTGTCACCATCTAGAGACCAAGTATTCCAATGCCCAGGACTACGGGGGGAGGACGTTTATCATTCAAACCACCACAAAAGACAAAGGAGAAAAGATAATAGTTGCCTG